CACCCAGCCACCCAGCCACCCACCCAGCACCAGCACCAGCACCAGCACCAGCACCAGCACCAGCAGAAGTCAAGGAGGCAATGCAAGGAATTTTCATGAAGTTAGTTACATACTCGTTTCAGCCTCTTGTATAGAGGGAGTTCGGGCGGTCTGGTCGCAGTTAATTATAGGGACTTCCCTCGGCTCCTAGAGAAGCATTGATTCAAGCTTGTGATTGGAAGTCGTATACAACGAAGGAAGACTATAGTAAGAATTACAAATTTTGCTGGCACCTCAGCCTCAGCGATGGGAGCGGAACAAGTGCAGTCTCTGTATTCCTCCTCCGCAAGTCCTGCAAACTCCGCTGCCCAGGCATCTCCCTTCAGAACAGCCTCGCATATGGCCCGGAAAGTTGAGAGCAACATGGGCTCATCAGCCTCACGCTGCTCTAGGAATCCAGCCCACAGCGCTGAAGCCTGTGCTTCAGAAACTTTCTCTCCGCATGCACTTTTGAGCGCTTGGAGAAAGCCAGACTTCTCTAAACCGCCTTCGCCTGCAGCTCTCTGAAACTCCATGGCCCACGCCTCGCGTTGGCGCATCCCCGCCTCAACAGCTGCCGAATGCTTCCTCCGACCCTGCGAGCCACGGAGCCTTCGGAAGGCCCTCTGCAGAGTGATAGCACTCTTCTCCATTCGCGCTCTTCTTTGCCTCACGTGCCTGCCACGGACCCAGGCCTGCAGCTTCGTGGCCGCTGCGCTCTTGAGCTCCTCTGCTGCTGCCACCTCGATTGCATCCTCGCCAGGGTTCCCAAGGCACGCGCTGTTGCTGTCTGGTTCCGCTGGCGCAGCGGTCTCGCATTCCTCTGCCAGGGCGGCTGCACGTCGCTGGCCACTGCTGAGCAAGTGCTCGACTACGAAGCGCATGGCGGCATCATCTTCTCGTGCCGCCACCTGCAACGCAGTGCGTTAACTTTGCTGACCTAGATTCTACAAGTACCTAGCACAACAAACCTGAACAGCACCTAGCCGAAACTTTGCTGACCTAGATTCTACAAGTACCTAGCACAACAAACCTGAACAGCACCTAGCCGAAAGGAAAATACTCTCCGTCCACACCCTAAGAGCAGGCGAAACATGGCGTCCGGCACCCAAACATCAGCAGAAAAAAAACTGTTCACGCACGCCTCCCTGAACACCCATTGATCATCAAGAATCTATCCAAGCCATCTGCTGGACAAAATCCTCGCCCTACTGGCCATGTACAGGTTTCCAATGAGTTCCACCAACCACTGCTGAGTGACCCATGCACAATAAATTCAAAAGTGTGCCTAATGTATGGTAACTGATAAGTGGAATGCTGGCCAACGTCTTGCAGTGCTGGGTCCAGAGCAGCCCAACTTCAGCATGACGAACCTACAAAAAAGGCCTCATCTCTGGGTACAGCCATCAAAGCGCAAAACAACAAGGAAGGCACCAAGGTACCAGAGTCTTGGTAAGCAGAAACGTGCTCAAAACCCACACAGAAAACACACAACACCCATAATCAAAAAAGGGCTAGGACCGCTAGGATGAGGAAAGTAATCCTCCCAAATCTTTTGGCTGGCTCTTTTCCTTCCTTAGCTTTCCATTGTGTTTGAATAGATTCCCTACTCAGTTTTGCTGGCACCTCGCCATCCGCGATCGGAGCGGAACAAGTGCAGTCTCTGTATTCCTCCTCTGCAAGTCCTGCAAACTCAGCTGCCCTGGCATCTCCCTTCAGAACAGCCTCGCATATGGCCCGGAAAGTTGAGAGCAACATGGGCTCATCAGCCTCACGCTGCTCCAGGAATCCAGCCCACAGCGCTGAAGCCTGTGCTTCAGAAACTTTCTCTCCGCATGCACCTTTGAGCGCTTGGAGAAAGCCAGACTTCTCCAAACCGCCTTCGCCTGCAGCTCTCTGAAACTCCATGGCCCACGCCTCGCGTTGGCGCATCCCCGCCTCAACAGCTGCCGAATGCTTCCTCCGACCCTGCGAGCCACGGAGCCTTCGGAAGGCCCTCTGCAGAGTGATAGCACTCTTCTCCATTCGCGCTCTTCTTTGCCTCACGTGCCTGCCACGGACCCAGGCCTGCAGCTTTGTGGCCGCTGCGCTCTTGAGCTCCTCGGCTACCTCCATGGCATCTGCCACAAGTTGCTTGAAAGATGCATCTGCTTCCAAGGTCACTGACGCAGTGTCCACGGATGCCACTGCCAACGCGGCGGCAGCCTGCTTTCCACTGCTTGGCACGAGCTCGACTGCGAACGATGTGTCCTCGTAGTCGTCCTGTGCCACGACCTGAGCGCCAGGTGAAGTTGAGCAGTTGTCGCAAGGGGGTGATGGTGGCCTATGAAACGCGATCCTTGTCATGGTCATGGGTGCTAGTTCAAATTGCGTGGGCATAATGTTGCTGTAAGGGAGTTTGTGAACTCGCCTGTTCTGAGCAACGCTTGCACCCGGTAATGCTGACTGCTCAACTGAACTAGTTCAAGTTATGGCAGTTGTGGGGCCTCTTCTGAAATAGGAATATTTATGTGTGGTGGGCCACTGATGCCTCTGATTTGTTGGATTCATTGGTCCATGTGCTTCTCGGCGCTTTTGGCTTCACACATCCCGTGCAAGCTCTGCGCATTTAAAATGCGGGAGAAAGGCTCCTAACACTACTTGAAAGAGCTTGTGACGCTCCAGCAAGCCAACACTGCCGTCCTCCCACACACTAAGCTGGAGTCTTACACGCGCACCGTGAACTGCCAACATTAGTCGCGGATGTTGGGGGTTGATTAGGGCTGGAGACATGATTCTGCAAAGCCTTGTAGTCCTGTCGTTAAAGCCTGAAAGTTAACGAGGTACTTCATATACAACTATAGCAAGATGCATCCCACAACTAATTCATTCAATCATTTGGGCCCCTAGTCCCTCCCTGAACAACTCCCCCTCCCCGAAGCTTGAACCCAGGAACCCAACCTGTTTTGGACAGTAAGCCAGAAATCCCAGGCCCTAGCCACCGGCTGCTTTGCAGCTGTTTTTAAACGGTCTGCTGGTTGGGGCTTCTCGTCGGACAGCCCAAAAACAAGTACATGAGAACCCTATGATTATGGACACCAGAGACTTCAATCTGCCTCGTCATCGTGAAGCGTCACTGGTAATACTGTCTGAACCTCTGCCTCCTTGAAGACCTGAGTTCTGAGAATTTAGAGTTTGGCCCTTCGATAGTGAAACCGACCTTGAGTTTGTTGGAGGGTTTTACGGGGTTGTCGTTAGATCTTCAGAGTGTTCTGGCAGCTTTGTTGAAACAATCTGGCTTGTCTAGTCCATTGTTTAGGCCATTTGAGGTATTGGGGTCTTCAAGCTCATGTGGTCGTCTCATAAGGCCTGATGGTTACCAATGGTAACGTGCGGCTCTCTCATGAAGGTGAGGACTTTGAAGCGTCGTTTAACAAGGATCTTGCCGCTGCCGCTGCATATTCTAAGACACTAGTTCAGCGATTTGTTCAGATGCGGTGGGCCCTTTCGAGAATGTGGTAAACAATCCCCAAACCCTAAACCCTAATCCCAAAACATTAAACCCCAATCCGCAAGTCCTAAACATGGGAGCCCTACTAAAAAGAGGCGGTTTGCCCAGGACAAGGTCCAGCTGAGGGCAGTGGGGTTTACACTAGACCTGGAACTCCCAAACAACAACCCAAACAAGAAGCTGTATCCCAGTTTTGGTGTGTATTTGGGAGATCTAAGTAAGCGCATGTCTCCTTGGAAATTTGACAGCGTCTCTCTGTTGCATGTCTTCAACCCTGCGGAGCACCTTCCTGCAATAATCATAAGAGCTACAGTCTAAACTCCTAGTTTTCCCCTTAATACGTAGTCTCCTATATAATCCACGAGACAACCCGCTTTAAGGAGTTTAGACTATGGCTCATAACATCTCTTTCTATCCAACCTCTGCCACTTCCCCTCTGGCCACGCAACATGGAAGGTCCAAGCAAGCACTGAAGAACCCTTCAGTAGACCATACTTACTTCAGCATGATTTTAGGGCGGATTTGGGGTTGAGGGTGGGGTGAGAGTGTGTTCGGGCGGCAGTTTGGGATGCCATATACTCATGTCCAGGTCACATCACCAAAAGATCTTGACAGTCCATGGCCCTCGGTCTGCACCTCCTTCCCAAGAAAAGGTATGTGAGCTGATATCTAAAATTCTAGTGTTATTCCCCTTATGAACACCTATTGTACTCGCCAATATGATCCCCGACACATCCCCCTTCAAGCAGTTTAGACTATAGCTCATGCGGGCAGGGTCTGTAGTCTGTAGGGCTTCAGGTGTAGGATGGGCGGATGCACAAGAAGAGACGCTCCAAGGGGTTCGGGAAGGTTCGACTGGAGTTCGTGCAAGGATCAAACAGCCTTCGGGACGAAAGATACGTTTGACGGACAACATCCTGCATGACCCTGGCTGGACTATAGTAGCACAATTTCAATCAGAATCAAGGGTTTAAGCATATAGGCTCATGCCCCCCGCTTTTGTCCATCATCACTATGCCTAGAATCCTCGGTTTGGATCCGTTTCCTCAGGTCTCCAGGCTGGAGGAATGCCTTAAGCCTTAAGCAATTCGTGTACAGGCTTGACTTGTAGGAAGATCTTTAGACGTTCGATTGCACATTTTCTTGGGACCGAAAAGGACTTTATGGAAACTTGTGTCTGAAACCTGTAACCCACACTCAAAAGGGGAAAAACCTTTCATGGCAAGGATTAAGTAAAGCTAGCACGAAGGCAAGTTCATGAAATTTGTGATAGGGGGGCTTGGAGGATTATGCGGGAATTTGTATATACTATAGTAGTTTCCATTTTCTTTTCTATTATCCCCCCCCAGTCCAAGGACCTTCTCTGTTTGATGACGGATCTACAAAAGATTTAACAAGCGTTTCAGCTGCACACAGATAAGACCCTTCCCCAATGATTGCCACATCTACGTCATCTACAGTAAAAGTTTGAGCAAGAAACTTGCAATGGTCTGACCCCTTACCTTAGGCAGGCTTCGGCGGAGTCTTTGGGGTTCAGGGTGTGCGGTGGGTCTGATAAACACCCATAGACCCCAATCCTCCATCCTAGCCCTCCAATCCCAAAACCTGAGCCCTGCCCGTAACTCAGTAGTCTCAACTCCTGTCATATACTTCGAAGTTTCTACAGCCAAACTAGACTAAGGGGTGAAGGCAGACAGCGTGACCAATGCTAATTTTCCTCTTCGATCAGCAAGCTGTAGAGCAAAAATAACTTTGCTTGGGTACCGGCCCCGCCCTGCAACAGTCAATGTTCGGCATCATATTAAGGGCCGTATATATCTCTATTCTATAAGTATTATTCAGCTGTTACAACGTGGGGACAGTACCCAACATTTTACATAACAAGCTCCATCCTTGTCTTGCGTAGCTGCTGAAGCCACGATGCCGACATTCGATTTGTCCTCGCCCAGGCTGTTCTACACACCATGGTCTTATACCCTAAACCCTAAACTCTAAAACGCGGTAGGCCTCAATTTTCCGGAAGGGTTGTTCTTCTTGGTAAGGAGGAATTTCTACAGATCTTCTGCCAGTCTGAAGAAGAGAAAAGAAGCATTCACACGAGCAGTTCATAATTCCCTTAGCAAGATGCTGTGTTCTGAGTCTTTGGCAGTTAGGACCTCAGAAAAAAAAAACTTCGATGCCACGTGCGCAAGTCTTCTTCACTGTGAAGGGGCGCCTAGATTTGTGTTATGTCTCTACTACCATGGCGCCCAGGTCTGGTGAGTAGCAGTTCGGCCTATATAGGCCTCAGTATTGCAACCCTTGATGGACAAGAACCTTACTAGCGCCCTTCCGTGGCCTCTGGAGCAGTGGATATAAGCCAAAAAAAAGGCGCCAAAGCAGGACAAGGCTGGATTCCACACGCACCCTGAGTCCTAGAATCCTAGAGTTGTTGGTTCCCGCAGTTCCTGCGCCAGTATCTTGAAAAAAGTGGATCGCTGTCGGGCTCAGCAACTGAGAATGACTATGATAGGCCATTGCCTGATCTCATGAGAGGACTTGTTGACAACTTGCACGGCTTTATATCTGGACCCCCAAATTGCAAGCACGACAAACCTGTCTCCAGGCTTTACTTTACCCTGCAGATACTCAGGTAACAAAACAAAAAGCAGCGAGGCACCCTCCAACAAATGGACTCCTTTCAAATCCCTACCCCTTTTACAGCGCCCAGCATGGCCAGCATGATGTTAGTTCACAGGCAAATGTGGAACTCATGATTTCGAAAGCTGGCTTTATGGATTCCCATCTTAGTGTGCGAAAGGTACCCAAAGCCTGCTGCACCCCGATCCCCCTCAAAGCTCTCATGTTCATGCTGGAGTTATCCCGGCTGGGCCTCTGAGGCTTTGAGTAAAGCCTGATGGCCAAGGTTGAAAGTTCCTTTTGTTCTTTACTGTTAGCTGGCAGGGCTTCGCAGTTCTCGCTCTGGCTGACTAGGGTTTGGGGTTCCAAGGTTTGTAGGGCTTTTGTTTTTTTCATGGCCAAAGGTAGCACTAGGCAACTCAAGCTGTAGGATTCAAGCTGGAGCGTTCATGGGATTGGAGTGCAGAAGCCACCTAAGAAATGGTCAGGCTCTCTGTTTCAGGCTGAAGGCTGGGGAATAGCAAGGAGCCCCTTGAACTACGTAGTGACGGCACACACCCCCAAATTTTGCCTACTTCACTTTGGAACCGAACCCAAGTAGAGATATTTCGAGACGGTTTAGGACTTCCATCGTTGCGCTGTGGAAGATGAACAAAATTCTGCCTCAAGGGACCACCTGGTCATACCCGTGGGCTCAAAGTAAGATATTGCAGACTGCGGGGTTGTGCGCATAGTTCAAGAATCCATTCTGGAGACACCTGGTAGTGAAGCCGCAAAACCAGCGGAATTCTACTTGTGGAGACTGAGGGGGTGCTTCACGGACTAGAGGATTCAGGATGCAATGAGAGCATGCAGAATGTTGGATTGAAGATAGTGATGTTGAATATCACGACATCACCTGGGTAGACTACGATGGAGCTGAATTTGTGCCCTTTCGTCTTTCTCTTCTTTCTCAAGCTTCTCAAGTTGGACTGCGGAGCCAAAACAAACTACACCTTAACCTAACCCACCCCCTCCCCGCTGAGAACCTGTCTCCGCCCTGCGAGCCATCATGATCAGCCTTTAATTGTTCAGTGCGACGGTCATTAACACAGTTAGGCTGACAATTCATCCGGTGTCGTAGCACTTCGCAGTACGTCCAACATAGTGCCACGGCACTGTAGGAAAGGCGGTGCGCTTTAGCCATATAAGAATTGTGGCGCCACTTGAATTTTGAGGTTTTATGAATTAGGATTAGGGTGCC